CTKCAWRWCAATAAGCCAAGATCTGCATTATTGAAGGAAATAGAAAGGGAAGAAAAAAGAGAAGTACTGGGGTCCCTGCCAACAATATGTCCACCAGGATGTTGACCCTCTAAACAAACAAGATCTAAGGGATCAAACCATCTGAAATGGTCACAATATAACAAAAAGGATCTAGGTAATAAATTTACAGGTGGACAGTTAGGATCTTCATGTTCAGAATTCCCCTATTAGGCATGGTCATCTTATGCTGGGATCCAAAGAACAGAGAAATCTGCTATTAAAAAGAAAACTTACAGCATTATTTAGAAAACAAATCCATAGCGGCAATGGTTAGAATTAGGATTAAGGCCAGACTCTCTCCTATGACTAAGGCCATCATATGGTGAAAAACAAACCATTGCAGGTGTGCCACATATTTTGTGTAGGGAGTGAATAAAGATGTACACATTGATCATAATAGCAATAACAACAATTATCATTAGTAAATATGCTTGTTAGAATAAAAAAGATGAATCTTACAGCTGTGAGTCTATCCCCTTTCCAACGGGTATACATCGAGCATGACAAACAGGAGTTCCACCTTTAGCAATAATGCCACGCCAACAGAAATCTTTCTCAGGAAATCCCTGGCTAGGAGGTCCTCCAAATGGAACTCTTGCACCTACTGGACTGTGATTTACAAGTGCTGCGCCTCTATCGAGCTGTGGTCCAAATCCATATGGCTGGTCTCCCCCAATCCCGTGTCTGTCCATCTTTCTCACAGAAAAGGGAGCATCATCGATAGACGAAGGGCCATCAATCCTTGACCTCTTAGCTTCCCTTTGAAATGGGTTTGCATCAAATCCATCCCATGTGCCAGGTGGAGGCCTAATAGGCGGCCACATACCTGGTGCAGAAGGAAGCATGCCAGATGCAGGTGGTGACAACCTTCTCCAGTTTGGACCCATAGAATTATTAGCAGTACCATCTGGGAAATTATGGAGAGAACCAGACAAGTCATTAAAGTCGGGACCTGAATGAAGTGGATCAAAACCACCTTGGGGACCAAAAGGCCTCATCATCATATTTGCACCAGGCATGCCAGTAGGAGGAAGAGGTCCAGGAAAGTTATTCGATGCCATTGGACGGTTCTGACCAAACATATCCCCTGGTCCAGGTCCAAAAGGAGGTTCATTAAAGAACATATCTGGCCTAGCACCTTTAATTCCAGGATGAAATGCCGGACTATCCTTACCAGGTGCGAGCTCACTGCTTGAAAACATTATCTGTATCCTCGGATCATTAAAAAGACGGCCTTGCAGACCTTCCTTTGCACGCCGAGCCTCATCTACACTTCTGAACTCCACAAAAGAGTAATGCCTTGATGGAAAACTTTTGATTCTTTCAATTTCTCCAAACAGGATCATGGCATTATGAAGCATCTGCTCATCAACTTGAACTGAAGGAGGATACCCAATCCACAAAATATTGCTTGGTTGTCCTTCTCTTCGGCCTCCTAATGGTTGTGAAGGCTGCAAAAAAATACAGAATCAAGTGCATAGCAGATAGTCAAGCCACTTGTAAGCTGTTATTCAAAATGTTAATCACAGAGATAATAGCAATTGATGCAACTGTACGTGTATGGTATAAAGAACCAGAAAGTACCAGACTCAACCAAACAAACAGTCGACACTTGCACATAGGTATAGACAGATAAGTCTAGGTAGGCTGCTGGATGAAGAATGTAAACTGCAGTACATAGTATATACAATGCAGCCAAGAGAATTATGTAATTTCTCCTAGACTCATGCCTGACCTGACAAGCTTAAGATAGCACAAGCACACAACCACATAAACAGAGTTCATACAATTATAATCACTAATAATTACCGTATGCCTTTTAAGCCCGAGCTGAGATGACTCTGGGGAATTTCTCATGGCATCTGGTGGCATCCAAGAATTTTCTGCAGGTCCTCTGTTCCTTCTATTGTTGAAGTGCCCATCCCTTGAGTCATGAAAGTCAGACCAATTTTCCTGTTGATGTCATGAAGGAAATAAAAACCACTACCAATAAAAAAGAAAAATAACAAAAAATAAAAATAAATCCCAACATATAATATCACAGAATAAGTCATAAGTAAGCCAATGCCCACATATGAAGCAACTAAAATTATAATCTACAGAATGATGCATGGAACACGTAAAGATAACCATCCCTATTTTCTGGTTTATGGGCTTAGAAATGATCTCAGTTGTTTAACAAATTCATGGAATTATATGTTAAACGAGTAAACATTATTGACTTACTCTTCGTGAAGGTTGTGACCTCAGAAAATCCACACGAATTTGCTCACCACCTAAGTGCTTCCCATTCATGCTTTTCAAAGCTGCAGTAGCATCTTCTAATTTAAAATACTCCACAAGTGCAGAATTGCGGTCCCTGAGGAATTTAAATTCCTCAATTTTTCCAAACTTCAAAAACTCATCTTCTAGCTGTTCCTTTGTAACAGACGAACTTATTCCACCTACCCACAAATGCTTACCAGGTTTAGCCTGCAAAATAGAAATTTTTTAGTTCTCCAGAAAAACACAAGAAACCAAGTCTGCATATCTCTCATGCAATAGTGTTGCAACAAATACCCCATAATAACATATTGTTGTGTTTTTACAAGTATATTATGATGTTGTAATAAAAGAACCCAAATAAAATATCACACATATTTAATTAAACAACAAGAGAATTATACCGGGATAGCCACTATCTGACAAACGTAACAAGATGTGGTGCATTTTTGTACTAGACATGGACATAGAATAACATGCATGGACACACACCTAAGAAACCCAAGTACATGTGTACAAGGGTGTTGTCTCATGTTAGATAGTTCAACTTTCAGTGTAAATTCCATATTGAACACCTTGTCCAGCCATGACCATGTTGTATGGGGGTAACATATGCATTAGCATACACAAATGACAAATGCTCACAGGCAAACGCCCACACACACATGAGCACAGAAAAAAAATATCACTGCTATAAAGTTCCTTTCCTCTTTTTGGCAGAGAAATTACAGTAATGAATCCTCTGAACTTCTGTAGCAAGGTTATACCACACACATCTCCATAGTAAAAATAGGCATTAGCACAAGAACAGACACATAAACATGTTATCATGCCTGCCATATTGCAGCCATAAATGAGAAGGGAATTTTAGTAGAATTGTTCGTGTGACAACTCTTTCTTGCCCTTTCCTTTCATCACATTTTTCTCAATGGGGCCATCTAGCATACCTGTATGGCCGTATTGTTGAGCATCATGTTGTATGTCTCTCCTCTATGTTTTTATCTCTATCCATTTAATAAACACCTTAGTCTCCCTTTTAATCCTCCTTATTCACTCTGATTCACTTCTCGGTTAAGTTCAATAGATTTATTTTTCCATTTACTTTAGTTTTTTTTTTCCAAACATTTACACTACTCCCTTTCCTATTAAGGGATCAAGCACCCAAACAATATTGATTCTGCAAGGCATAAACCTTAGACTTCTGGCATTTTGCTTTGACCTAAACATTGACCAGAGTTTCTTAAGAGACAAGAAAACATATCCAGCCTGATGCAATAACCAACTTAAGTCAATTATATTTTGATGATCTAAACCTCACTCTCTAAAAGAGACACCAAGTCCTGATGACCAAAGCCTCTTCATGTCTGTAATAGGAGTTGGCAAACTCAAAGCTCATTTGGCTATAAATTGCCAAAGAACAATATTTGTAATGAGAAACTGCTAAACTATGCCAGGTTCATAGAAAATATCTCCAACAGTTCTGAAAATCCCAGAGAATCAAAAATAATTTCTATTGGTATCTTTTAAGGAACTTTTATTAGCATTATTTTTTTGCCATTACCATTATGCTTAAACATCCATACCACTTGCTTTAAATATTTTGCTATGATCAATAAAAGTCAAAATTTTATTAAATATATTATATTAAACAGATGTACAATATTTGACAAAGAGAGTGCATCGGATGCACTATCTACCCCAATCATTACATACAACAGATTCCCCTTGAAATCTCACACCAAAATAGGTACTCCCTATTTGCCCCCGACATACTGCCAGGCTATCAACCATACTATTCTCACATCTTGGGGTACATTGAAAAGTAACATTCAGTTCTGCTGCCAGGGACCTGACTTCACTCAATAAATACCTGTACATTCAAGTTCATGTGTATCGCTTCCTAACTAGCCCACTACAACCTTGGAATGCTGATTCTTAACTCATATAACACTGCCATCAATTCTGCTCCTATTGAGTCTCCAAGTCCAATGGACCCCAAATAAAATGATACAACAGTTTCGTCATGGAACCCTTCATGCCTGATATCACCAGATTCCATTAGCTGCATCCATCAAAGTTCATTTTCAGGTATAGCACCTCAGGTGGCTTCCAGTGTAGTTTGACTCTTGTCGTGGAAGAATTTTCTACATTTTCCGGTTCCTAGCAATATCATCATGAGAAACATGATCAAAGATAACAGAATCTATACCCACTGTGTCACTCTGACCATAATTGTCTCCATCAAAACCTTTTTAATTTGGCTTTTGTCCTCAAAGATTCTTCTACTCCATTTTCCCGATACTGCCCACAAGACAGCAGTCCTCAACCCCTTGATTTTAAATATTAAAAAAAAAAAATCAACTCATTTTTATGAATGGATCCTGGCTAACTGGATCTGTTTTATAAATTCCAGGTAACCACTTCATCTCCCAAGCATACAAATAACGCCAAGGAGTTAAGATCTTAGGCTATTGCTTTTCACTGGTGCCTACATAGAGCCCAAAATAGGTACTGGGCAACAAAGTGAAAGCATCCTCAACTATACCTTTTTTTATCAGTACATACTCCACAAGAACTTTTTCTTCTCCCTTAATCAATTTAATTACATCTGTTTATTTATATTGATATTTCATCATTATAAACCACCTTACATTTTTTTAAGGTAAGAAAAGGAGAAAAAGAAGGTTACCACCATGGAAAAAAACACAGTTTTAGATAAATTGGACCAACACAAAACGTGTATTGCAATTGTAGTACAAATAGTAATTACAATAGGAGTGTTCGGTAGTTAAGATTGATGATTAGGAGATACTCCAAAAAAATCACTCTCGTCACCCTGGACTAATCATCCATAATGAGAAATTCAAGAGAATGTTGCCCAAGAGAATGGCGGATATTAAGTGGAGTGTACTCCGCTGGTTGTACTCTGTAATCTGGTGATACTTAACTATGTTCTAATAAAGCTTATATATATATTAAGTGGAGTGTATCTGGTGCACTCTGCACTGTATGACCACCACAAACAATGAGAAAATGAAAGGATCCATCATAGCCAATGGATGCACCAATTTGAGGTTATAAAAAAGGTACCAGGAGTTATGTGCAAGTTGGTCATGGAAAAAGTGTACGACCAAATACATCGGGAGTTCACTGGCCATACTTCAGAAGATGGAATTTGGATTTAAATGAAAACATTGGATAGAATTCTCAATAGAATGGTGCATAAAGCAGTAGATTAGAAGCAGTTGGAGGGATTCATAGTAGATACAATCAGTTTATCAGTTACTCTCCTGCAACTCATTGATGTCTCTCATCTCACAAGTGCTCTATAAGAGGATATGAGGTACTTGTGATGCTTGCTCATTTGCTTTGAGCATGTATCAAGATCGAACATCAACTTCCAAAACAGTGAGCTCATAGCAATCAGACATGTAGCTCCACAAGCTAGGAGCATATCATCAAGACAGGAAGAAGTTGTGCTGCCATTATGGTTTAAAATGTTCCTAAATTTCCTAATATTTCGACAACATATTTCCATTTCCATTGATAGCAACACGCAATTTTACTTGAATTTTTTTTTATCAATACGAAATTTTACTTGAATTGACATATTCCCCCAGTAAGCATTACCAGCACCATGTGGAAGGACAAGAGATAGTTTCCAAGACATAATTCCATTTCCATGGACGTGTGAAGTTTTACCGGAATCAACATATTCCCCAGTGAAAAACTAGCAGCATTGTGTAGATTACAAGGGATGGTATTATAACATATGTCAGTGACAATTTGTTAAATATGTAGAGTAGAAATATTATTGTCCACCTAACTTGATTACCACTTTGAGCCAACTTGATATTCATTTCAAACATGAAGTTAAATATTAGTTTTTATTTGTGTAATAGATTATTTGGTCGATCTATTAGAACCATTTGCATTTTCTATAAGTTTGTATTTTGATTTAACTCATTCTATCATGTGGCTGGGAATCTCAAGGTTTACAAGACAACGTGGCAACGTATTCTTTTGTCTATAACCTTAGCTTCTTAGCTTTGTCTAATGATTCAGAGCAAAATAATAATTTAAAAAGGTGTGCATATGCTTCTTTTTATCATTCCATAAAATACCATTCTATATTATTGCATATTTTACAATATTTCCACCATGTCTATAATTTTTACAATATTTCCATACAATATTTTCAACATTTCCAGCATGTTTCCTATATTTGGGTGACTGAAATTTCCACCAACATCAACATTTTAAACTCTGATCTAAGTTTCTACAGCTCCCTTTGGGTACAAACTACTGATCAAAAGAGATATGGGACAATAGTTGAGAGATTCCTGCTTAATCTAACAGGATGGAAGGACTAACTATCACAGGGAGGGAAGTTGACACTAATTCAGAGAACTTTATCCAATCTTCCCATATAATACATGCCTATGTTCTCTGCTTACCAGCTTCAGTATCAACTACCCTGGAAAACCTCAGAAGAGATTGCTTATGGGATGGAGTGGAGAAGACAAAATTATCATTTCATAACATGAACATAGGTCTTTATACATTATCAAAAACAAACAAAAAAAAAAGAATGTGGTCTTTATACCAAAGCTCGAAGGTGATGAAAGCATCCAATCACAAAGGCACATGAATAAGGCTCTCTTAGGAATTGTAAAGCTTTGGAGTGGAAACAGAAAATCTTTAGAAATGAATACAAGTAAACATGGGCAAGATTCTATGGCATGGTAGCATATGGAAAAAGGCAATGAAAATATGGGAATATTTTCAAATCTACATTTTGTAAGACAATAGGGATAAAGATAGTCTTACTTTAAGGCAGAGTCGGTGAAAGATTTGGGAAAATGACGAAGTCTAGAAACGAAATGAGCAAATGGATGTCTGAGCGCATAAGGGAATGGAGAGTGTGTCCCCTTCTACGTCTTGCTTGCCCATTTATAGAACCTGGGAGGCAAGCTGCATGCATGGCAGTGCAAGACCTAGGATATTCTCAATCCCCAACTGTAATGGTGAGGCAGATCCCGTATTTCTCTCCCCCACAGATGCATGTCCCTAGGGACCACATGGTTGCTAGAGCACATTCAATCCAATGGTCCACTCTGGACCATTGCCACCTAGGGAACCAGGAAATAGAATAGGTCCAGAACCTATTTATCCACTGCAAATTGACCTACTCAATCTGTGTTAACTTCCTTCAACTGTTCTGCACTGATTAGGTGACTCCCAAAGGCCCTCAACTTGCTAATGTTCTCTTGGCCAATGAAAGGGCTAAACACAAAAGGAAGAATTCTGTGGAAAATCACCCCCTTGGCCATTTATTGGACCATGTGGAATGAAAGAAAATCAAGGATTTTCAACATAAAGATGTTGCTTTGGAGTCCATCATTGGTAAGATGGAGAGAACTCTCAAGCATTGGGTCGAAGGCATATAATAGATCACCAAATATATCATTATTAGTCTTTTTTTATTCTTCTTTTGCTTCTTATATTATCTCCTTGTGAACCCACAAATGATCATCTAATTATGCCTTGTGGCTTGTACCTTAAAGGATATCTCCTTACTTGGTTTGATGTAATCTCTTCTCAATTGAATAAAACTCACCATTTATCAATAAAAAATATTATATGTAACAAATAGTGTTGATCACCAAGAAACAACATGTCCAGAAAAAGAGTATTGTTGAACAACCAAAAAATGATAAATGCAATTAAGACATGGATGTTAAGTCAGTGTCAATACTAGAGATGATAGGGAGGATTAGGATTAGACCCAGTAGGTGAAAAACGTGGGAATGTTTATTGAGGTGGTTCTGCCATGTTTATAGATGACCATCAAGTGCATTGATAAACAACTTGGTGCAGAGGAAGGGGAAGACTCAAGAAAACATCACGAGAGTGACCAAAAATGTGCTTTGGGTCCTCCTCCTTAGTTAAGGATCTCTAAGCTGTAGACCTTCAGGACAAACTACCACACTTGCTTAAAAAAAAATTTGGCTTTAATATTTTCATAATAGAAGACACATATAATTGCAGGCAATCTAATTGTACTTCCCAACTTAAGGATATCAAATAGATGGCATTTTGCTTTCCCACTAAATTGGATACGGAAATACACTGGAAACTTCATTGATAAGGCGAGGAACTACAAGTAACAACCCTACACTTAGAGAGACAAATGGCTAGACACATTTTTATGCCATGGTTGCTTATCATTATATGAAATTAAAGAAGTAGATATAATTGGACTGCAAGGTGCCAATGACCCAGAAGTTGAAATGATTACTCAGCATCACTCCTGTGGTAGAGACATGGGACAAAACCTGCAGAAGTGATGGCTGTCAATGGTATGGCAATAGGGCCTCATGTGCACCCTGCTCTGCCACTACTAACCTCTGACCGACTAACCCAACTACTCAGAGACCCAAAAAAGGGATGCACAGTTGAATTGCTCAGCTTCTTCAAAAATATATATGTGAAAAAGTAGGTGACCTATTATTGGTTTAAGCGGAAAAATAGTTTGTACTCTTCTTTTATTTTAATGAAATTTTTATTTTACCTATTTAAAAAAAGGTGACCTACTTCTCAGTCATCTGTAATGTGCAGCTTTGGGGTAGATCAAATACAAGGATTAACACATTTTCCACTGATCCTCTATATTCAATAAATGATAGGTCATACTCCAATAATCCCATGGCAGACAATAGTCACAAAATCAAATAATTGTTTTAATTTCAGTTGGTCTCCATAGTTTCAGTAGCAATTTTGAGAAAATAACCACATAAAAAAATATTAAATGATTTCATATTTAAACCATCAGAAGTATCCGTGGATCTCAGTGAGGCTCAACTTACATTTGGTTATGCCATGGGATAATTTTTGTAAATTCAAAAGACACTTAAAACTGGATAACCATAAAAAAGTTGTCTACAAATCCACGCTCATCTATATATCCTCATTTTCCATTCAATTCCATTAGAAATACTTGCTACCTATGAATGCAGTTGCTGCCAACCTCTAGCATATCACATGGAATGATGGATATAAAATTTAACAGTAACTTCTAGGCATACTTTTGCAAGAGTATCTTGAATAAGCCTATCAATAGATGGGCTAGTTCACAGAACGAACACAGTAGCTCTTGATTGTGCATGGGTTAATGAAAAAATTGAATAACCAACGCATATTTTAGGAAGAAATAGTAACTGAATAGCCAACGCCTAACTCTGTTCTCTCATGTTTTAACTTTTAACCCTTGCATTACTCTGCATCCGTCATATATATTCCATTATCCAAATCACCACATCTTGTTAATTGTTACTTCATTTCCACACTCTTTCTTCCCGGAAGAGAATAAGAATATATGCAAAATGCCAACGTACCCACAACATTCTTTCTCAATTGTCACCTAAAAACATCAAAAGAAATGTTTCAATGGTTCCTTCTTTGATGTAAATTATTCCCGTCAATGTTTTATTGAATAGCTCCAAGATCTCAGTTCTTTGAGTCCTACTTCTATGTTTAATTGCGAACCTTGTTTCAATCCTTTCAGAGCATTCTCTCCCCAAGATTCATCTTTTTCCTTGCGAATTTATGCATAATCACAACATAGTCAAGCCACCGGGCGGTTACGATTGTATGCAAAATTTGCACTCGTTGTAGAAAAAAGATGAATCTTTTTCGATATGTAATCCAAATCCGCACGAAAATTAAAACAGTAAAATTGTAATCGTGCTAGAAATACAAAACGCTGATTCATGAACTGAAAAGAAAATTACCCATTTCACGTTACAATCAAGAAAGATACACAAAAGGATAGAACGAACCGGTCGAGCAAACTCGATCTTGATAGGGTTCCCGCGAACAATGAAACCCTGGAGAGCTTCCTTCGCGGACTTCGCATCTTCAAGGCGCTTAAAATAGACAAACGCATAGTTCCTCGAAGAATACGTTGCGACGCTTTCGAAATCGCCGTACTTGGAGAAAACATCCATCAAGTCCGTATCGGTGGTATCGTTCGACAGATTGCCAACCCACAAGTTATGTGAAGGAGTTTCCTCTTCTTCCGTATCCTTTCCCCCACCATGGCTCGACCTAGGATTCTGATCTACAGGCATGTTCGATTTACTCGGATGCGGCATCCTACAAGACAAAATCCCCAATTCCTCTTTCGAGATCGATGATATAGGGAGATCTAATGGGAGAAGGAGAAGATAAATAGTTCGCCTAATGGATCAAAAAACAGAAAAAATACAGAGATTGGAGATTGAAAAGACGAAATTAGGGTATCGAGATAGAGAATTTGTCTAGAAAACCCTAGATCCTTAAATTAGATGGGAGAAGTAGACGAAGGTGATAAGGTTTCGACGAGAGGAACGGATGGATTTTGAAAAGATGAAGGAACAGGATAGCATGGGAGAGGTTTATTTATAGTTAGGGTTTCTCGAGTTGCTAAGTTCACGGAATCATGATGGCATGTGAGCCGTTTAGAGTCTTTACGTACGTTTTAATTGTTTACACGTGTTCGATGATGAATCGTGACGTATAATAGTGCTTTAATAAATAAAATAAACCAAACCGAAATCCAGTTAATTGAACCGGTCGGTTCGATTTTGCTGCGATGTGTGTTTCAAAAAGGCAAATTTATTAAAGTATTACCAAGTTTTAGGAAATTAATTTAGTGCCCGTTTGACAAGTCTTTTTTAAAAGATCTGTTGCAAGATCTGATGGTTAGAACTCACCATCACTTTTTTTTGAATTCTCTTAAACCCACTACAACTCTTTAAAACATCTAAAAGTCACTATGTCAGTGAAATTTTATTTTCTAAAACTCACCATCCATTACAATACGTTAAAGTTGAATGACCCAAGTTGTCCACATCAACCTAAATGCATATTTCATTACTAAACTGCCCCTAAATGCATATTTCTAGAAAAATGGTACCAAACACTCACAAAGGTTATGTTTAGGTGAAAGTTAGAAAAAAAAATGAAGAGTGTTAACTAGGGGTGTCCATGAAAAATCGAAAAATCAAACCGAACCGAGAAAACCAAACCGCAAAATGCGGTTAACCGAATTGGTCGGTTTGATTTCAGTTCGGAATTTTTGAAAAATCGAAGGACCGGTTCAGTTTTCGATTAACCTATAAAAAAACCGACAGTTAACCGAACCAACCGGTATATATATTTATATGTATATTCTATAAATATTTTTAATATATGTCATATATCTTCTATGTATTTTATATAAATATATATTCATTATATATAAATATATACTTATATTATATTTATAATAATCTATTTACAAATATATTATATATCTTTAAAATACTTATAATATATTATATATCATTTATTATTTATAATATAATATTATACATATATTATAAATATAAAAAACCAAAAAACCGAAGGATCGAACCGGCAAACCGATTAACCGGTGGTACCAGTTCGGTTTCGGTTTGGCAAAATGAAAAAACCAGTACCACCGGTTCGGTTTACAAAAAAGGGCCATGATTTAGTGTTAACCTTATTTAGTATTTGTTAAAGTGACGTCTCTTTGACACAAAGAGGTGAGACAGACATATATACCTCAATTTGCTTATCAGCTACAGTGAGATGAAGAACTGTGTTCCCATCATCATCCCTTAGGTTTACAAAATCGTCATCACCCACTGACTCCAACAACAACTTCAGTGCCTCCAGGCAGGCGGTCATACTTCACACAAAGGTGTAGAATGGTCCCTCCACGATGCAATTGTATCGAGCTGCTTGTGGTTTTGCTTGAACCAATTCTTTCAGGACTTCAACTCGGCCTTCATTGCTGCTAGATGAATATCAGCATACCCTTTGGCTGATGCCAAGTGAAGAGGTGACTGTCGTCTTCTTAAGTCAGCTTCAAGAGCAAGCTCCAACTTGCGCTGTAGAAGCTCTCGCACAAAATTGAGGTGACCGAGCAACACAGCTACATGCAAAGGAGTCTCGCTGATGCAAGATACAATCACCTTATCGAGAATAAGCGGGTCTTCTCAAAGCAATTCAAGTAAAGAAGATGCACTCCCTTCTGACGCTGCTGCATGAAAACGTTTCTCCTCAACCCTCAACCCTCCCCTTGATAAAATAATGTTGGGAGCAAGAGTCAAGTTGTCGAGTCAGAAATATGGTCTTAGATTCTATCAAATCTCCCTTCAAAATTCCGGCATCCATTGGCGACCTCTCCCACCTCTTGGTCCTTGCATTCTATGGCATCCCCAACCTCACTGGCTCCATCCCTTCATCATTCACAAAGCTTCAGAATCTGGTATCCCTCACCATACATAACATCACTCTCTCCGGCCCCATCCCAGAGTTCCTCAGCCAACTCAAAAATCTCCAGGAGCTGGAGTTGCCCTACAACCAGCTTTCCGGCTCGATCCCGCCTTCCCTCGTCAACCTCAATGAACTGAAGCTTCTTAGCCTGGGATGGAACAAACTTACCGGAAACATACCCAACTCGTCTGGGGGATTCAATGCAGATGTGCTAGGTGGTTTCTCCATGTTTTTGTCTCACAACCAGCTCTCCAATGAGATACCCAGATCTTTGGGACAATTTAACGTGTCGAGAATCGATCTGTCGTATAACAATCTCATCGGGGATGCGTTGATTTTGTTCAGGGAGAATGCAACAACAATGTCAATCAATCTATCTAATAACCAGCTAGACTTTGATTTTGTTAAGGAAGAAGAACAGGATTCTCTTCAAGTTCTCAAACGAAAGGGAAGCAGCGGCCGATGAAGGTAAAATGGTAAATTAATGATGCCCGTTAATCAAGTTACTGTTATCTCACTGACATGGTAAGTTTTGGATGTTTTGAAAAGTTGTGGTGGGTTTAAGAGAATTCAGAAAAAGTTTGAATAATTTCCCTTTAGAAATTGATTTAAAGTATTTCTAAGTTTTTTTTGACAATTGACTAAATTCTCTTTGTCGTTAGCTTATTAACAAAAAAATGGAAAGGACTGTTTTACCCATCATTCTTTTTAAAATATTCAAAATGATGTATTTGTTTCTTGTGTTGTTGGTGGTGATGTCGTAGTTGGGGTATGAGGTATAAAGTGGCAAGATGGTCTGGGAAGACTAAAGGAGTTGAGTAATGATTACCTGAAGAAAAGGGTTTGTGGATGGCAGAGACTGAGAAGATAGGGCAAAAGATTGATGGGATGAGATACAAATACAAGAACAGCAACAACTATTGTTCTTGGGTTGGCAGTTGTTTTGGCATTGATACTAGTAATAATGGTGGTGGTGATGGCAGAGAAGGGAGGAAGCCTCATATGAATTTGAGTGGGAAAGCCAAGTGTGAATAGAAAAAAAAGTTTTGGGTTAACAGAAGATAACTTTATGATCGATACTCATAAAAATTTCATTTTTATTTTTAGTTCTGCCTATGTGTGTTTCTATGTTGTGATTTTGGTGGATGATGATATCAATGGCACAAGCATATGTAAGAGAGTATCATACTCTCAAATTTGGTAAAATCCAATCGGCTCTAATAGGCCCCAACACCATTGATGGGTCTACATGGCTATATACAATACAACAACCATCAGTCCATGCCATGGTAATTTGGTATACCAATGGAATAGTGGTGAGAGTGAGACAACCATTGGATTAGGTGAGACAATCCCGGCTGGCCAACCAAACACTGGCATTCAATTTTCAAATTTTCAGATTGAAAATTTCAGTCTGGTTTAGTCCTCAGGCACAACTATAGACTTTCTAATGGGGAGACAAAGGAAAGAGGAGAGGAGGAAGAAAGGAAATCGTGGATCGTGGATGGATATGTTAAAATTTTGTTGATGCTAAGTTGAAATCTCTTTTAAAGTTTGTTGAACTATATTTTGAAAATTTAAAGAATCATGTAGGGAAAAATTGATGACAAAAGGATAATAATGGGTTTAAAAAAAATTCTATGCATCACGTGGTGTCACAATAGTGTAAACAGATTGTGATGAGAATTAATGGACACTGATTATAGGGGAGGATTTAGTCAATTGTTAGAAAACTTAGGGGTACTTTAAGACAATATGTAAATAGCAATGGTAGAGTTAGTCAATTTCCTAAAATGTAAGGGTCCTTTAAGAAGTTTGCCCATAGTGGTATCAGTTCAGATTTAATTAACCTAAAAGAAAAAGAATAGACCAGTACTTATAATAAGGGTAAAAGACTTAAACATACATTGAGTTTTCATAAATTGACTTAAACATACCTTGGATTTTTTAAAAAGACTTAAATATACCTTATTACTGTAAAATGCTTTTTCACCCTTCATCATTCTTCAAATTTTCAAAGAGAACCAGGGAGACCCAAACCCCAACAAGTGCCACCAAACAGACCAAACCAAAGCAGTAGCCACTTTTCTCTTTGCGAGTGTCAAGATTTAAGCCATGAATGTGAAGACAAGCAAGAAGATGAGGGGTTTGTGCCAATCTCTTGGGGTGGGGTTACGGCGGTGTGTATGCCTACTAACCCAAGATTAGTAATCATGCCTGGGAGGCTAGGCACAAATCTTTAGTGGACCATTCCATGTTCATCAATTCCAAACATTCCATTGAGTAATCCCAAAAATTCCCTTAGGTGGATCTTTGTCACCATCTTCGTTCATCAAGAGGGAATAAAAGATAGAACGAAAGTCCTCCAACACTTGCTCCATAGCTACTGCACTAGTTTCATCCAATGAAGTCTTGCAGGTCAGAAATCATAATCAGCATAAAACACAAATCATGTTTCTTTTTTTTTTTGTCTTTTCCTCTATTTCAATATGTAATAACCCTAGGGAGAGAGCTATGTGGCCATGATGAAGTTGGGAAATTAGAAGAATAAATAATTGAATCTCTCCAGTACCTCCACTGAATCTATCTATATTCTTCGTTTTCTTGAACAAAAAATTGAATACCAAATGCAATGTAAATTGACTGGTTCCATGGGTGTTTATGGATAGGCTATTTATTTGTACTTTTTCACTTCAAACATTTTTTACTTTAAATGTTTCCTATTTTTGTTGTTTGGTTGGGCTTCACTTTAAACAATCTTTACTCTCCACCTCAGATTAATACCCATTAAAGTGTGACACATCAGTATTTGGTTTCAAGAAATGTTGCCCATGCACAAAAATCAAAGTGTTTCAATTTTTTACCATTTATTTGATAAACGGTGAAACCAAACAATTATTTCATTTTGCTTCATCTACAATAAAATCCAATGTCTATGTGGTGCTAATGTAATGGCATTTTTTCAATAAACACCCATGGAACCAAACACAACCTGAATGCCGTTGGCAATGAGTAGAAACCGCCACTATTTGGTTCTTAGTTTGGGAGGAAAAAGATTAATAGTAGGTTTACTTTCCCAATGGGTAAAATAGGAATTTTAAAATATTAAAAGAGTTTCATAAAAAAAGAAAGAAAAAATGAGGGCATATTTAAGTTAAGTTGGGTCAGCCTACTAGGTATATTTAAGTTTATTTAAAAAAGGGTAAATTACAAGAACCCCCTGTACTATGGGGTCAATGACAAAGACCCCCCTGTACTTTTTTGGCAACAAAGACCCCCTAAGCTTAGGCCATTAGACAAAGACTCCCCTCCATTAGCGTTTCATCAGTTAACTTCAAAAAAGATTCTCATCTAACCATTTACAATTTTCTAAATGCCCAAACTACCCTTTTCTAATTTGTTGTATATTTTTCTTTAATTTATGAAACCATCTTATTTTCTTTAATTTATTTCAACACTCGGTTTGTGGGGAATATGATTAGGAGAGGAACTGAGGAAAGGAGGGAAGAAGAGAGTGCAAGGTAGAAAAAATTGGGAGAAGAGAGAGGGAAGAGAGGGAGTAGGGGATGTCATCACTAAGGGTGTCAATGGACCGATTTTGGATTGGATCCCATCCAGTCCAAAATCAATTTGGATGAATTGTGATGGTGCGCGATCCGACCGGTCTTAGTTGTCAACGATCTTGCCTCTGACTGGAGCAAAAGGTGCCTAAAACGGGGAAGAGAGCGAGTAGTCTCCGGGGAGGAACCCGACGAGAATGCTTCGAAGCTCAAGTTAGTATTTCCTCAAAGGCAAGATAAAAAACCAAATGGCGCAAAGTTATCACATACCTCTCTTCTTGGGGGGAAGGGGGCTTTTTATAACCACTTCGCGCACTCACTCCTAAGCTTCTGTTAGGTCGGGTATGATTACCCCTGTGCTTGAGCCAGTTCGGGTTGTTGCCCTTTGTGTTCGCAAGGCTCGAGGCCTAAGGGAGAGCTCGGGCTCCTTGCGGGGAGTTCGGGCTCCTTGTGGGGAGTTCGGACCACTGGTTCCTCCTTTCGGAGCTCGTGCCTTGGGCGTGCTGTTAAGCCGAGTTGTTGCGTTTGCCACGTGTTGAGTGGTTACGAGGTCGGGCCAAATCTTCCTTCATCAAATTGGACAGACCAACAAGACATATTGGATTGGAGCAATCCAGTCCAAATTATTTATTAGATTGGATTGGACCTGGTATGTCTGTAACAAATTTTTATTAGATTGGGTTGGATTAAGCGAATACCTGGTCCATTGATATAAGATAAGAATATATGTGTCAATGGACCGGGTTTGGGTTAAAACCAATCTAAGTCAAAATGAATTTGAATAAATTGGACGGTCCAGACATTGAATTGGTCCAAAACATTCATTGGATTGGATTGGATCTAGTCCATTTAAATGTGGACTCAAATTGGACTGGATTTGACACCCCTGGTCTCCGCCGCAACTACTAGCAAGGCAGTGAGAGAGAGAAAACAAGAGAGAGAGAGAGAGGTCGTAAGCTAGCAATAAAATCTGCATCCTGCTTACTTTTTGAAAAACAAACAGACTTTAATAGCTGTTAAAGTGCATCAATAACAAGCGTTTAGTCTCCTTCAAGCAAAATGTAGCCAAAGCTTCTATCCAACACGTTCATTAATTACTCGAGTCTGGATTTCCTGCACTTGCCTTGGTGTGAGAATGGGTGCATTTGACACTTCAATCATTCATGAACCTAGATTTCACATGTGGAAAAATCGTTAAGCAGCATTGTTGTCCATGCCACTATCTCCTTTTATATAATTTTTGAATTGAGATATAAAATTGAGAAAATAAGATTAAACTCAAAGCTATGAACATAAACCGATGCCTCATACGAACAAGTTGCATTGATGAGATAAAGATTAGCATAAATCCATACAGCAAACGATTATAACACTCTAGTCCTAATTTTTAACTCAACCCAATCAACAAAGATCAAATTAGAACTCTTGGTTTTGAGAAAAAAATGTTTCAGCTTTTCTTTCATGGGCAATAAGACCTCAAAAGGGTTGGCATTGATTGAACATTTAATACAAATCGACCTGTTATTATGGATTCCAAGAATACTAACTAACAAAGATCAAGAACATAAAATCTGGGTTTGCTGCTATTCAAAGAAAGATGGCTCACCTTCACGGAAGTCATTGATGAATCTTGATAGATAAACAGAGAATGAATAGAGAGAGAGCAGTGACACAAAGCAGAGCACATGATGGCAACCAAATGAGGGAAATGGAGAAATGATTCTAAATATTACTAACCCAGATTTGTATTTGTAGGAAAGAAAAGAATATTGACTAGGCAACAATGAAGAAAGCAACTCTGCCATTAGATTGGAGTCTGCCACCGGTCCATCTTTACTTTCTCTCTCTTAATCTGGCCCCCACCCAGAGACCAAAACCATTCATAAATCGGAGGGTGAGGGGGTTG